TGGGCCACCAGCACAAGACGTATCGGCAAGTTGACTCTCTCATAGAGATCTTTGGGCCTGCGTTTGAGTCCCCGCATATTGCTCTTGCGTTCCGGGTTCTCACCCCGGATGAGTGCGTAGCTGTGTGTGGTCTGCAAGGCTGTTTTGAAGTCACGGAGACGAAGCATCTTGTTGACGACCCTTTCAAGCTCGGAGTTGCAGGCAACAGCTTCCATCCCCTGATCATCCAAGGACTCGTTGAGCCACTCGGCGCTGACCCGTCTCTCACAGCCTCCGCGTTTTGGCAACCGAGAAGCCCGGCGAAAGCGCGGCAGGCGTATGACAAGCTCTGTGAGGAACGACGGGGGCCATTGCGTGCAGCTGGACTCTCCTTGGACATTGTTGTGGACCCCTTTCGCGGGCACTTGCCTACGGTATTGTCGTGTCAGGGAGTGTCGGCACGACGGCTCCCGGCGCGACCAAGGGCCCCTCTCCGTAGAGTTTCAAACTGGTTCTTGGCGACGTGGCGGCAGGCTGATCATTGCTATCTGAGTATTTATGGCACTGTTGAGTATGCCCATCCCATTGCTGTCACCTGGCTGTTTTGACCAATGTCCCACCATTGCTGGCCTCATGCACCTCCTGGAGTACTGGACTTGTCATGCAGGAGCTCAACATTTACACGGAGGCCTTCCTCACGGACCCGATGTTGGGTTGCTTGTTCTTCTGCTGCATTCTCCGCACTCGGAATTGGCATCCTTTGGACCTGGCAATCCTACGTCGCTGGACATCCTTGTTGCTGACCTCGGTCGTCTCGCGAGCTGCTTTCAGCCCCCCTTTCTGGGCACGCTCGTTCGTGACCTCCCGCGAGGCGCTCATTGTCTCTCCGCACCTTATGGCCTTCAGCTACCTTTTGCCGTCGCTAGTGTCGCTGGCGTGGGCTTTATGCGGTCGGAGACCGGCAAAGATTGATGCTGTGGCGAGCTGAATGGAACCGTGCGGGGCTCTCTGAAGGCTGCCCAAGGTGTGTCCTAGGACTGGAGGCCCTGCGGCAAAGACACTTGGCTGGATACGTCCCTCATCCTTATGCGCCCAGTGTGCCCCCCGCTTCAGGTCATCGTTATCGAACTCGGCACACAACATTGCTCCACCCTGGTCGAGGGTGGTATCTATGTTCACAGTATTCATCCTGTCTTTCGGCACGGTGCGAAGCCCGCTGTTTTGATGGTCTGGCTGGTGCAAAGTGATTGCACAGGGGCCTGGCTTGAGGGGCCTGCACTTTCGGTTGTCCAGATTTTTTTGCATGTCGTTCAACATCATCCTGCACATTCGCGATTCCCCACTCTTCAGGAGCTGACCCTATATCTGGAGGGAGACTGTCCCGCCGCTTCGATTGACGCCAAGGTCACTCTTGCCGGAGCCTGCCTGCCGGCCACTGGGTACAGCGGGTATCCTTGCCTGAGATGATGAGGACCTAACGAATTCCGGCTCTTCGGCGCTTTGTGGACTCTCGGCAGCGGTTTGCTACTCCGGCTCCACCATGGATTGCACGAATACATGGATGCCGCTTTGAGGCTGAGGACGTGTCCTGTCCCAGTAGGGCCAGGCCGTCGTGGAAAGATCTCGATTTAGCTGGAGGTGCTTGCTCTCAGTCCTCCAGTTGCTGGTGCGAGCCAGCTGCCTGCGGATGCTGTTGTCACACACGTTTTGATGTTCGCGCAGTGGCAGTCTTCACTGACCCAGCGCTGATTGAATGGCAAAAACAGCTCGGAGCTCGTGCTGGGACCAGTTGCCGAGGTAAGCCCCCCCGTGCTGCCCCTGCTTCTGCATCGTGCATACTGCAAACTGTTCCACCGGGCAGCAATGGGCAGGCGAAGGCCGCAGCGACGGGGGGGACAAGACCAGCTCGGGCCGCCAAAGGAACCAGCAGCACAAGACAGCTGCTTCCCCGTCCGAGTATGGTCGGGAAGTTGATCGGGCTGACCTGTTGCTGATTCCTATGGAGTTATTTCACTTTTTGATGGTTGCTCCACGACGGCTCGCCGCTGAAGCCGCACTGCACAATCCACCCATTTTTGTAGTTGCGGCGGAGCAGGACTCCTTGTTGCGGCAGGTTGTTGGAGAGGCTAGGGGATTTCAGACTGATGGCAAGTGGCAAGCGCACCCTCGATATGGTGCCTGCCGATACCTTGAGGACGTTTGCCAGGTTGTCCAGCGCAATGCGCTCGTCCTTCAGGAGGCCAAAGCCCTTGCGCCACATCTAAAGTTTTCATCGTCGGGCTCCCCGTGCCAGGAGTTGACCACGGTTGGGTTCGGTCGTGGACAGTATGGTTTGACAGGCCATCGGAGCTGTTTGTTTTTCATTTTCTACCTCATGGTTTGGTGGGCTTGTCAGATATGGGCGAGACAAGGTTTACTTCCTCCTTGAGAATGCTGGCAGCACCGCATCTGGCTGATGCTGGGGAGGATCGGTACGGTGCCTTGTTCAAGGATGTCGATGTTGGTGCTGGCTGGAGGAGTCGTGTGATATTTGAGATACAAGGTCTAGCTGTCCCTTGATTGGCAAACGTGAATTTGTCTCGGCCGGCATGTGCGGGTAGGAGATGAGGTCTTTCATGGGTTTGATGGCCTGAGTAAAACGCTGGAGTGCATGCCAGCTGCCCATGGATCTGGTACATCCGTTGTCCAGGGTCGCATAGGTCAGATTGTGCTGAGGGTTAATGACAGGCGCCACCAGCTTTGTTGCCAAAAGGCTCTGCTTTGTTGTGACAAACAAATTGTGTTCTAAAACCGTATCATCTTGAATCAGCTTCTCATGGATGACTTCTTTCTCATACGACTGAAATGCGTCATAAAATGCAATTAATGCTTGTCCTGTGCTGGATGTCTCATGGGATGAGTACCAGCCTGATTCACTCCAATTCCATGATGGATCCCAATCTTGGTCTCCAAATTCTCTGCCGTGGCTGCGAACGTTTTGGATTTTCCTTTGTCATGCCCGCTTTTTTCTTTGCCACTGCCATAGGATGGGTAACCATTGTTTCCATCATAGGGATACTGGAATTTCGATTTTACTTTCTTCCCTTTCCTTCCTTCGCCTTTTCCCCCATATGCCGGGTCGCAGCGATCCTGATTTTCGTTGGCCATATTGGCCTTCGCCGGAGCCACTTTTTCGAAAGGGTTTGACGCCACCTCGTTGGTGACTGCCCTTTTTGCTTCCTGATTTTTCTTTCCCTTTTCTCTTCTTGAATCTAAAGTTTCGCCCAGACACTTTCCTTGCAATGAACGCGTCATTCTCCTCCAAAACACAAAAAGTCTCTTCATCATTGGTTGCCATGAACCCTCAGTCCTTCTTCATCTTCCACCCAGAAACCTTCTTCACCTTCATACTCCCCTTGTTCTAGGATGTAGAAGGTAGTTCTCCAAATTCCGCCAGGAGGTTGGATGGATGGTTCTTGGATGGATGTTCTGGTCGTAATGAAGAGATCATGATACTGGGTCTTCATCATCCCCTAGGTGTAGTTCTCGAGCGAGATGTTTCTCAAAGTTTCTCTCTGCTGATCTGACAAGTCACTCTGGATGATGAACAATTGCGCAATGAGATTGTCGCTGAGGGGGGATTACTTGAGGTACTGCCTGAGTACTTCTGGATTTTCTGGTGTGGAGGCGTGGCTCTGACGCCGGCTGCTTGCTGATGCGCGGCCACTCTTCTTGCATTGGCATCTTGTGAGGCTGCCTTCAATCTCATCAAGAGAATTTCAAACTTTGATGTGAATTTGAGGGACTCGGTGTTCTGCCTTCTGTGATTGAAGAAACTGAGAAGTCTGTACAAGTACACGTTGGTCGACCCTTTCAGGAAGAACTTCTTCAGCGTGTTCTTGAAATAGCCGACTCCTTCTTCAGGATCTTGCAAAAGGTCATTCTGGAGGACTGCCTTGTACATGTGAGCGTCTACCGTGAGACGGCTCTTGAGGAGTGGTCCTCTCTTGGATGCACCAATTGTTGTGAATGTCACCCAATCATCTACAAGTTCTTCATATCTAAGCCAGCTGACTCTTCCATCGTACGATGGCGGCTGCTTGGCGGTCATCGATAAATAGAGCGTCTCTTCAGTGAAGCCGGATGATCGGCCTACACTTGAATAGGCCTCCATGAAGCCTTCTCCATCGGATGACATCTTGTTTGGACCTCTGCGGAAAACCTGCTCCGCTACCAGAATTGAGGCCCACTGCCAGGGGTATCTTATCCCCGAAGGGAACCGATACCTTGTGGTAGTAGAGGATCTTTATTTGGTAGGTCCCTGGATCTATTCCGCAGAGTCCAAGTGTCAATGCTGAGGGATTGATACTGGATTAGCCCTGGTTGATTGTGTGCAGTGGTTTACCCTGAAAGTGGTCCGCTAGCACCTTTGTATCACGGATGCAATGGCTCCGTGAGCCATGTACATCTGATGTGTGACATGGAGATCAATTGGTCCGGGAAAAAAACAAAAAACAAACAAACATAAACTCAGTTGCCCAAAGGACCTGTGTATAAAAGGTTAACCTTTTGGGACCTCTACTAAAAATAGACCAACAAGGGAAAACCAAAAGGTCAAAAGGTCGGCTTTGAACAACTGAGTAAAAACATAATAATAATAACACAAAACACAACAAACAGACAAACAAACAAACAAACAAACAAACAAGCAAGCAAACAAACAAACAAACAAACAAACAAGCAAGCAAGCAAGCAAGCAAGCAAACAAACAAACAAACAAGCAAACAAACACAGGGGGTGGGGGGTTGCGCAATTTGGCACACCTGGGTGTGCTTTGTTGAGGCTACTCTTTTTGGGCTACTTCAAAGGTAAACCAACTGAAAAACCGACTATCAAAGACCTCTCAAAGGCACCTCTTCTGAATCATGCCAAGTTTGCGATTTCGGCACATCCGGTTTGCTTCATGTGAACTTCAGGGTGTTTCTGGGGGCCTAAAGGAGTGGTTCGGTTTTGGGACCCACAAAAGCTGACACGCGCCAGGCCTGGTCCAACGCCGCTTGCTGCAAGCACCCGGGCCTAGAGCCGAGTGGAATCAATGACCCTAGCTGTGGAAAGGGTTCCTGTTTCGGGGAAGGGTTTCTGTGCTCAACCTGGCGACTCATTGCCTTTCACGATGCAACTCGTTCCGTTTGAGCCACGGAATCATTCATTCACCCTTCATTGCGGCGCACGCCCAGCGGCAGCAGAGCGGTGCGCGAGTCCTGTCAGCTCAGCGCAGTGGCCGAGAAAGGTCATTGGAGGACCTAATCGGCCGGGCCGAGGTAAAGTCCAGGATCCTGGCATTGATTGCCTCAAGGGAATCCTGGGAAAAAGGCATGCAGCAACCTGCCTGGGGTGGTCCCACCCTGAGTGCAGAAAGGTTGAGTCCTCGGGTTTCACCGATGTCCAATTCAAAAAGGCGGGAAACACCACGAAGAACAGCACGAACAAGGCGAATATCACTAGCTAGGGAGGCATGGACATCAGCACCCGGTGGAACATCAGCTTTCTCCGGTTTCGGAGGCAGTCGCAATAGTGACCCCTAATCTGTGCATAAACGGCGATCTCAAGCCAAGAGACACAGTGGCTGGTGTCAGCATCTTGTCGGTCTCTCAGGAAAAACTCAAGAAGGCCGCACACAAAATTGGCTCCAAAACGAATTAGAGAGGAGCTCCGAACTATCTCGCGCCACTCAGAAGGTAGCTGCGAAGTCCAGCAGAGGGGTGAAGGCAACCTAGGGATCTCGAGAGGCTCCTCCAGGTCACCATCGTCCGCTCGGTGGTTGTGGTGGGCATGCTTGTGGAAGCGCGAAAAGCCTTCCGCAAGGTCAAGTTGGAACCTGAGCATGGTGCCAAATTGGTCAGCTATCTTCTGTTCTTCTCTGAGGAAGCTTGCCCAGCATCTGTCAAAAGCAGGTGGTAGTTGGATACGGGCAAGGCCAGCAGCATAGTCTGCTTGCCCATTCCAGAGAGCAAGCCACTCATCTACCGGGCTGTCGCAGTTGGAGGGGTCGGTGTGTCCTGGAATGTGGTGGATCTGGATGTGGGAGGTGGTGGCAAGCTGTAGTGTGTCAGCAATCTGATTCCAGAGGTCAGCGTTGCCGGAGATGTGGTCAGGGTACGTGACCACGAGGTCGAGGGACTTCTGGATTTGCCATATTCCCTGGACCGAGGTCGCCGAGTCGGACCAGATACATGATGGCGTAGAGCTCCGCCCGAGTGCTGCCTTGTCGAATGCCTGGCAGTAATCCTTGCGCGAGAACTTGGCCGTGGGTCGCTGAGACTACCGCCCAGCTGGAAAGGGCTGTTGACGGGTTCTTTGGTGTGGCACAGGAGCCGTCCGTGAAGAGGTGCGTGACCTGGCCCGCGTCCACAAAAAAGTTGAACCGCGGGGGCAGGTAGGAGAGCTGGTGGAGATACCCGTGTACTTCTGCAGCATGTGGGTTGCAGGGTGCAAGTAGCCGTTCCCGGAGACATACTGGAACATGATCCCATAGGGCAACAGCAGCAGGATGTTGTTGACGGATTGCTTCTGCTTGAGGGCAGTGAAGGCTTCGGTGCGAGATGGAGTCAGGGGCTGAGCAAGCCGGACAGGTCCCATCGTGGAAGTTGTCGAATTTGCTCTTGTACTCTCCAGTGAAGAAGGCGCCCCTTTGTTGTGAGTGGGTCCGAGCGAGCTCAAGTGCAGAGAGATGGCTAGTTTTCTTCTGCATGATTTGCCAGTTGATGCCCTGCAATCCTGAGTAGTCTTGCCGGTGCGCAAGTTGGAGGGAGATCCAGTGTCGCCAACCTGCGGTGAGTCGCCTGAAGAGAAGTGCCTCCGGTGTGGTACAAAGGTCATGTTGTAGGCCTTCGTGGTCCTGGAGAATGGGGACCTGCTCGACCCTCCATCCAATCTGGTTGAGAAGCCTCAGAATGGTTGAGAAGGGGCCGGCACGGAGCTTGCCCTGGAAGTTCTGCATGTGAAGGTGATCAAGGAGTCCAGGCTGCTTCCGTAGTATACGCTTGAAAGTCCGGATGGAGGTCCAGAGTTGGAATAGGCCAGGGTCTAGAAGGGGGTTTCGGACAAGAATTCCAAGGCTGAGCAAGGAATTCGCCCCAGCTTGTTGCCAACCCAGTGCCTTCATGACCGTAGTCCGCAGTTGGTGAATAATCAGCGGAGGATAGTCACAGATGACGGCCGAGTGGAACAGCTTCGGCCAGAAGGCTTGGATGATGATCCGCTTTTTGAGCTCGGCTGGACAGGAGAGACGCCGAAGCAGGTCCCATTGGGGTTGGAGAAGTTGAATCTGGTGTTGGAGGTGTTGTGTGCGTCGCTTCGCATCGTAGTGCATGAGACCACCAAGGTCTTTGTTGTAGAGTTGGGTGTGGTGTCCAAGAGCTCGAAGTTGCTGTCTGTGCTGGTTGTGGACAGCCCAGGTGTAGGACTTTGTATCATCCGTGGTGAGCTGGAAGAGCTCCAGAAGCATTGCTGCGTGGCGATTCCACGGATCAGTGACCAAACGTCGTGGGAGATCTGCTCCAGATTGTCGACGTAGGAGAGGTGGCAAATTTGAGGCGCATACTGTTTCTGATATACGTCCAGTGCCCAGCAGGTTGCTGCCATAGCAACGCAGCTGAGTGAACATCCTTCTGGGTAACCTCTTGTTGAATGAAGTGGCTCCCCGATGGAGTGGCGTAGATTGAACCTGCCGGTGAAGGTGTCCAGGAAGCGATGCCAAGCCGAGAGGAAGGTCCGCGGGACCAGGGCCTCGAAGGAATCTCCTTTGACCGATTTGAAGGCAAGGTGGCAGTGCTGCTGGCTTACCGCGCTGACGATGTTGCCAGCTTTCCAACGCCCTGAAGTTGTGTTGGAAATCCAGGAAGAGGACTTCGGTGATAGCCCGGGATGGGACTGTCTGGGGAAGTTCAACAGGTGCTCCCTGACTGCGATGTGGGCGAGTGGTCCACCAAGTAGCAAATCCAGATTGGAAGCCCGCTGCCTGTTTGATGGCTTGCCAAAGCTCGAGTTGGTGCGCGAGTTGTGTGGGGGATGTGCCTCCCGATCTCAAAGAGTGGAGAAGGCTCTGGAGTCGGCGCAGTTGCTTGAACCATTTGAGGATGGCGTGGTTGATGGTGTCCGAGCTGAGTTGTATTTCTCCTGGCCGACTGGGGCGAACCGAGAGTTGTTGTGTGAGGCGCTTGATTGGCTTGAGCCGTTGGCCTCGCCCTTTGCTGGTTGCAGGAATGGAATGTCGCACTGGCAAAGTGCTCAATTTGATTCCCGACAAATTTGAAGGTGTCGGTGGTGGTGCCATTGGGTGTTGCCGGGAGCTGGTAACTTGTGGCTGCTGTTCTCCATGTGTCTGGAGCAATTTGGTTCCAAGGAATTGGAGCCGGCATAGGCCAAGTGAAGGTGGCCGCGTGGGAGTCGGGCAGGACAAAGTTGGCCCTGATCGTAGCGTGGTCCGCAAAGTCCTGTTTGACTTGACAGTCCCGGAAGCAACCCGCAAGTTCCGGGGAAAGATACAGCCGATCAGGTCGAGTTTGTCCTCAGTAGGTTGGAAGTGGAGGTTGCCCTGTGAGCTGTTGATGTAGTTCCTGAGCTTCAACCCAGCCGCATTGCTTCCAAATGTGGATGGCCGCGAGCTTGTCCTCGCTGGCATTGGCAAGCGGCCCGTCTCCAATCGTGATTCCCTCCTTCAGGTAGGGGGCGAGCTCGGCAATGGTGGCAAAGGCGATGCCCTGTGAACCCGGACCAATGGAGGAAAAGGAGATCTGCTCGACAGGTTGATCATCCTCGGAAGCGAAGTGACCTGGTAGAAGGCAGAGTTCCTCGCCTGAAAAGGTCAGGGGTGCGCTCGGTGGCTGGGACCTCTTGTCCTTTGACTTCCTGCGGTTGGAGACAGCAATCCCGAAGCTGGATTCCGCCTTTTCCTGGATCTTCTGCATGAGCTCATCGTGGTGGACGAAGAGAAAGTTGCAGTGCGGTTTGGACCCGAGCGCCTTGAGGGCGGCCCACTGGTTGGTTTTGCCCAGTGCCGATTGAAGGTCCGCTAGCCCGAGCTTTTTGATGGCCTGTTGGGCCCGGTCTTGGAGCCTCTGTTCGGGCACTCCTTTTGAGCGGAGTAGTTGGACAAGTTGGTCCTCAACTTGATCGCCACCAGTTGCAGGTCCGCGAGCTGAGTGATGTCCGAGATCATTGGGGGTGGCAGCCAGGAGTTCGTTGTGCTGCTGGAGGATGTCAGCCTCATCAAGGTTGTGGTTGTGGTTGAGGAGGATCTGGATGTGAAGGAGGGCGATGGTGCCGCAGGTGTGGTCATGCTGATGGAGACACAAGGCGTGTCCCATAGTTGTGCAAGTCTTCTAGCAAGGGCGTGTCCTCCTGACAAGGCATGTCCAGGGAGCCCATCATAGATGTAGGCTTGGAAGCCATCCGCGGAGCTGGCAGTGCAGAGAAGCACTGCCCAGTGTCCGTCGTGGTCGAAGATGGCTATTGTGTCCATGTAGTAGAGCGTATCCGGGTTGTAGCCAGTGTCCAGGACTTGTCGCGAATCAATGGGGTTGAGATATTGGACAGGGGTGCCTCCGACATGGTCGTGCTGGTGTAGAATTTGGCACATTGCCATGATCCGCCTGCTGTGATGGTGCCGATGGCCCTCAGCCTGAGGTCAGAGTAGATGCGCGTGTCGTCCCCGATGAGTTGGCCGTCCTCCAGATAAAGGGACCAGGTCACGTTGTTGGGCTCGATCTCATTGATGGCTTCAAACAAGGAAACTGCCTGCTTGGATCTGGGTCCAGTAGGGTGTGTAGTTGAAGATGACAAGGATGTTGACCTGGACTGGTAGAGGAGGGTGTTCAGGGCCAAGTGGTAGTAGCTGGTAGGGACCGTAGTAGCCTCTGAGTCCGCCGGGAGGAGGAAGTTGCCATCAGAGGCCAACCAGCCGTGAAGGTTGGTTTCGGCAGTCAGGAGATCTCTCACATCCCTGAGTCCTTCTCTGACGAAGTGGATGGGGACCTGGTCCTGGTTGTGGAGTTCGATCGCCTGGGTGCTGTGCGAGGCGTCGCAGTTGTGGTGCTTGCGGAAGAGCAGGGAGTCCTTGTAGCTCCTGATGAGCTGCATGGGTTGGCAGGGAGTTCCAATGTGCCAGAAGTATTGGACTGCTTGGACGAGGTGAGAAACAACCGAAGTGGGGCCGCAATCTGGCCGATCAGGCATAGCCCGTCTTCCTGAACATGCAGGAATCCCCTGAGCACCTGCGAGATGACGTAGAATCCCCTGAGTCCTGCATGTAGAAGACGTTCTTCCCGGAAAGGGTGGTTTCTGCAGCCGCATGGGCAGCCCTTGAGCGCGTGGCCGTAGGAGTGGAGTATGGTAGGGCATGAGGTGGTTGTGGAGAGTAGTCTTGTATCATCTCCGTAGGCCGGGTTGTGCATGTAGCTGAGCTCGAGGTGGGTGAGCTGCAGTTGCTGTTCTTCCTCTCTAGGCCAGAGTGGCCAGTGTGGGATGATGTCCCGAACCTGTTGGAGGTCTTCTGCAATTGGCCAGGCTTGAAGGTCCGAGAGGTCCAAGAAGGCCGGAGCAACCAAGGCCCACCAACGGTCCCTTCTGCGTGGCCATTGGTGATGCAGAGAAAGCTGGATTGTACGTACCTGGTATCCCATCATGTTGGCCAGCGTGTGGAGACCCTCAGCGATGAAGGGAAAGCGGGCCACGTTAGCTACACACTCCAGGATGAGGGTGGAGGACTGCAGAAGCCAGGCTGCCCGGAGCACTCCCCAGAAGGTTGTGCTGCGGGGGTCTTGGTGTCCCATGCGATCCCCTTGCGTGGAGAAGGGTTGGCAGGGAAACCCTGCAGCCAGTAGTGATTTCCGTGCGTTGTCCATGCTGTGCAACTTCTCGACGTCCTGGTAGTTGTTGATGTCGCCGTGGATGACCCCCTTGGCGTCATTCATCTTGAGCGTGTTGCAACAGAGCTCGTTCGCATCCAGGTGGGCTATAGCCGAAATGCCCAACTGGTTGAGGCCCATGGCGATGCCTCCCATACCTGCACAGGCTTCCCGGAGGCGCCAGAAGGCACCCGCATCCAAGGAGGCATGCGGGTGCCAGCTAGAGTGCTCATCCAATGAGCAACGAAGGGAGTCGGCCTCCTGAGTGATCTGGCCGAAGTAGATCATGACCATGTCGTTCTGGACGAACATGTCGAAGGGGACGAGCAGATCCGTGCCAAAGGCGCACACCCGGGCCTTGACAAGGAAGCCGCAGTCCTCGTGACCACACCAGACCAGGGTCGGCCAGCTGCCGGGGGGTCCAGACCAAGCGGTCCCGCCATGAGCAAATCTCCCAATCTTCAGCTGCCGTGGATCCACCACTGACAGGCACTTGGGCCGAGATCTTGAGCCACGGAATCAACAACTGCGCGGTTCAGGCATTTGGGGAGTTAGGGTTCGTGCCGTCCGATTATTGGTCCTGTTTCCAAACAAGGCAAACCCAGAATCAGGGTTTGGTTCTTGTGCTCCCCCAACCCTCAGGGGGGGGGTCCCTCACAAACCAGACGTGTCCCGTTCGCTTGAAAACACGGGGAAGTCGCGAGAACAATATCAGACCTCCAGAAGCTCAGCGCTGGGCCTCAAGGAGTTGGCCTAAGAGGCCGGGCCGGAGGGCTTCGGTTTCCATGGAAACCAACGCCGGGCTATGGCGCAAAAAGATTGGTGTTTGTATAGGCGTAAGGTACGGACTTGACGACCTTGATTGAAAGCCCACACAAGATTGCCCCAAAGTGGTTGCCATCCTTTGACACTCCAGCAAAACAAGCCTGCAGCTCCGCAGGTGCTGAGTTTGCTCTCCGCCCGAGACACAAAACTTGGCAGCCTTGCCACATCTTGCAGGGAAGGCATTTGACCTGGCAGGATTGGATGGACATGTTGCTGGGGACTCGCACTTGCCACACAAAAAGACAAATATGTCCTTCCGCGTGTCCAAACAGGCGCGCAGCATTGCTTCTGCCAACGGGACATGGGCGGGGGGGCATCGAGCAGGAGGGGTCAACAAACACATCCTGAATTCATCACTGGTCATTCTGATTGATCCGTCGTGCGCCCATGGAACTTCGACCAAAATGGAACTTCCAAATGGCATCCCGCCTGGCAGGCCAGATCGCATCGCCTGACGTGCATGCGCTATTCGGGAACCGGCGCCCATGCCAAGATGTACATGGAACCACCCCAAAAGTCATTGTGCGAACCCCTGAACATGTTCAAATGGTGGTTTAAAGGGGCTGGACCCCTCAACACTTTTCCGGGACCCCTTTTTGCTTCGTACCTCAAGGGAAACTCAAGAGACGCTAACCATAGGGGTTCAACCGATTCCCTTTTGCGGGCCTGCAGCAGCAGAGTGGCGTCCTTGTGGCCCACGCCAGACTGCCAAGGAAACGGTTGACTCGCGCGAGCAAGGCGGGTAAGGTGAATCCCCCCAGTTGCCCCAGGAGCCGAAGGTTGCATATCCAAGTAGAATACAACAAGTGGCTCCGGTCCGTTCCAAGTTTTGATTATTGGCTCAAATGGGAAGCAGCCCTTTTTGAAAAGAAAGTGGGATCTTCATCCCAATGACTACAGTGTCACTTTTACGGGAGATCCGTGGCATCTGAGAAGTGGCCACGCCATGGAACCTTTGCATCCGGCTTTCCGGTGAACTGGCAACGCGCAAGACTCCGAGCTTCCATTTTGGGTTTACTTCGGCTGCTCCCCCAATTTTTCTGGGATCCGAATCTTTTTTTCGATGGATGATACGAATGGTCGCGATCAAGCTTCGGGGCGATAGCCGTGTCGCAACATGCTGGTTAAACCAACAGTCGAGTCTCTGGCACTTAGTTGCTGAAAGCTCCTCGGCAAGACTCCGATGTGGCTGACTTCTCCCCTTTTCAGAGTCAGGGCTCTGGGTGGATCAGCGGTCTCGCCAAGGAACACTGGGAATCATATCCCCGATGTTTAACCACCAGCGACACATGATTTCTAGTCCGTCGCCTCCACCAAGCAGCCCCGAAGTTGAAGCAAGGTCCTGAACGCGTCCGTGAATCGGAAGCCAAAGTTGGGGTCACGGCTTTGTCTCAAACGGGACCGGTGACCTACATCGGTGCTCTTTTATTGGTCCTTATTTTCAGACACTCGTGCAGGCGCCTGCGCTTACCAACGGTTCAGCTTCGGCGGTGCAACACAAACCTGTAGCAAGAGGTCGCTTTGGCATTGCCATCGAACACAACACCACTGCTGGAGTTCTAGTACTCCACCGAACCAACATAAGAAAATCCCAGAGGGCATTGCAAACAAACAATTCCCGATTCTCAAAACAACTCACCCAAATCTGTGAGTTGCAAGATATCCTCATGGGTGACCATGAAAGTTACCTTATGATGGATTTGGGCGCAAACCGAAACCCTTTGTGAGGTCCGGGATTCAATCTGTCCATACTGGAACTGCAGACCTCTAATGCCATTGAATCGGTTTTGCTGGACATGGGAACCTCCCCTCCCTCCCACCCACAAACACACACACACACAAACAAACTCACAACACAAACAGACACACACACACACACAACGCACACACACACACACAACACACACACAACACACAGGAAACTCGGACTGTGTGTTTGGCTTGCGCCCGCTCCTGTCTTCCTTGTCATCGCCTCGCTGGAAAGTCAGAAACAAAGGCTTCGAAGCGTTGAGCACCGCACGAATTTAGCAACCTAACTCACTGACCCACCAGAACCCTAAGAGACCTCAGAAAGAGTTAAGAGACCTAAGAACTCTAAGGGAAGCCCCTAAGTGACCTCAAACAAACTAATCAGAAACAATCACCAAACAACATCCAGCGTAACCTCGCTGTCCATTTGCGGGAATCCCAGCGTGTCGTATCTTAAAGCAACACCTTCTGCAAAAGGGTGTGTCTTGTTTTTAGGGTAGCTTTTTTAATGAGGAAACCCCAAAGAACAACCACAGTCTTTTTTGGGAGTCCCCGAAAACATGACACACCCACGGAACGAAAAGGGTGGTCTGATGCGAATCCTTGGGACCCAGAGATTGTGGGCCAAGCCGAGCTGAGACGAGCGAAAGGTGTGTTTTTGGAGGCGAAAGCTGGGGACGACGCTTCTCACTTCCCACGGTGACACCCGCTGACTCATGAACCCCACCTAGTCTTGAGAGAGGGGGTTCCGTTTTGGGGAATCCTTTCACAGAAAGCCCTCGAATGAATGGGGGGTTGATTGCGGTCCAAATGCCAGAACCCTTGGGCTCCTTGAGAAGCGTATGCGCATTTTTCCAAACCATTGGCCAAAAAGGAGGGGACAGCTTTCATCTGGCTTGCTTTTTATGAAACCCATGGTTCCTATATGTGCGTAGAAATATATATATATATATATGTATACATATATATATATATATATATATATGTATACATAGGTATGCGTACACATGTTTCCCGTTAAACATCGCCCCACCACAAGGAACCTCACTTTGGATCGTTCCAAATGGTGATGTGAAACACCACCAAAAGGGGCAAATCGCTATGGACTTGTCCCTACTGACATGCCTTCGGCGTGGGAAGAAGAACAGGGATCTTTACATTATACACCTGAACATTGCAACTTGTTTTTCCGGTGGTTTTCCTTTAATTATTTTGGTGTTGAAAAAGCAACATGTTTCAAATGGTTGCAAAATGAGTTTCTTTTAAGGAGCCCTGAAGAAGTTCCCTAAGACAAGGTCCGTGGCTAACGGGGCCACCGAACAGGTCACGCGCGCAACTTACGGACTGGCGGCCTGCCTTCCGTCAACCTGGCAAACGTGCGCCAGCCCTGTTTGAAACATGGGTTTCGGGTTCAAATCGTGGGTACCCTAAAATGAGTGGCTCTGTGGTTTCGCCTCGCAAAAAGAGCAAACTCAAAACAAACGCCCCGTTCAAACCACCGCAACAAATCAATTCCCTTCCCTTAGGGACCCGGCCCGATCTTGCGAACGCAAAGGTGAAGATGGATGCAACTCCCAATCCCTGTCTCAAAGCCACAAAGCCAGAAACCTTGGGCACATCTACCTCGGCTTCCGATCCATAAAATGTACGCAAACAGGACAACAGATATCCCAGACCTGGCCATTTGGAGTCCTGCAATTCGCCGGATGCGCGACTCCGCTCTCTCCAGGCGATTCATCTTCGCCTCACAAAACAGGCTGAGCACAAGTGGCTCGCTGCTTCTGCAAACTCAATACCACAGGAACAGCTCGCAACATGAACTCTGTTGCTTGCCTTGCCGTTCTTTGGATTCGGAATGCTCGAGCAATCGGAGTCAGTGGCTTCTCAGGGTGTTGACGGCAACTGCTTGCTTAGCACCGTGCAAATCAGAAAGATGAGGTGATGTCTTGCCGTGGACACTTGTTGCGCATTTTGCGGCCAAGGATCCAAGCTGAACAACACTGTAAAAAATAGGTTGCAAAAATAGTAATACCCCCACTTCTGCCTTGCTCTGAGAAGCGGACGGACATGCTGAGGAAAGCGGCATCCACGCTGCCAAACTTCCTGCATGCCGCGAGCCATCGCAAAGCGGAAGGACTCACTTGGAAAGGCCAAGCCTGTTGTACCTACTGCACGTTGCCAGCTTGCTTGAAGTTCCAATCGTGACCGAAGCAACCAAACCATCTGCCGGTAGAAGCGTTCGCTGGAAACCCCGCACCTGTCGAGGCTTTCGCAGACGCGCTTCACCAGAACTTCTGCCTCTCCCTCCTTCGACTCCTTTCCAACAGCCGCGCGACTTCAATGCTCAAGGGACAAACTCTCTCCTGGGGTGCGTGGCCCAAATACCCCTTTCAACCAAGAGAAAGGCATCCCTTTTGGACAAAAAACGCATTGCTCCTTCACATCTCTGTGAATGACATTTAGCCACTTGCGGCAAACAGTAGACACCCGCACCCACAAACACACTCAAACACACACAACCTAAGTTTCTGCACGCACCCCAAATGGACATACGGTCCGAGTGAAACATACATACATGTATATATGTATATATGTATATATGTATATATTATATATATACGTACACGCATGCTTAGAGACTTGCTTTGGGTGCAGATGAACGGCGCGGTCCTTTGGCTTCGGAGGCTCCTTGGGAGGCTCCGAAGGGATGAGTTCTGCTTCCTTGATGCGCGCGGCTCCTCTCTCCTGGGGCGAGGTAGCACCAAAGCGAGGGCCCCAACGATTTGGGGGTCTCTCAATCGTTGGGCCGGTTTCCTGGATGTCCTTTGAAGGCACCTTGAGACAAACCCATTTATGAGCAGAATCTTGCCCCACACGGTTCCTTAGTGCTTGGCTTCCCAAAGTCTAAGGGGCAGGAGTCTCAGAAACAGAAGCAATTTCCTGCCGGTGGACTTTGCTCCTGTAACCAAACAGTGGTATTCTCAGAGGTCCACACTAAGTCTACACAAAATCCAGGACTAAAGCAAGCAAGGCGGGAAGCCCAAAAGGGTGCCCAAAAGGGAGCCCAAAAGGGAGCCCAAAAGGGTGCCGGGCCAACCACTCAGGGTTAACCGTTCACCATTTCTGCAAACCCGCATTCAAGTAGGTGCCCGACATCCCCGAAAACTGTGAACACAAGCTGCCCTAGTCATGTTCCCCGCTCTTCCAGTGCATCGTATAACCGAATGGTAGATATGAGGGGTGGAAGAATTCAACATTTGTCTTCCTGCGCCACAAAAAAACACCTACTCATCAGTCCTATTTCCCTTCGAAGCCAAGCGGGGAAAATCGAGAGCGCGAAATAAGAGCGGAAAACTATTAGCCACTAAGAGCGGAAAAACGAAAGCCACTAAGAGCGGAAAACTGAAAGCAACTAAGAGCGGAAAAAAAAGAACTAAGAGCGGAAAAAGTAATAGTAGTAGTAGTAGTAGTAGTAGTAGTAGTAGTAGTAGTAGTAGTAGTAGTAGTAGTAGTAGTAGCAGTAGCAGTAGCAGCAGCAGTAGTAGTAGTAGTAGTAGTAGTAGTAGTAGTAGTAGTAGTAGTAGTAGTAGTACTCGTAGTAGTAGTAGTGCTACTAGTGGAATCCGGATTTCGAGGTGCTGGCGGGCAATGGGGCCCGAAAAGGCCTCCCTTTCTCCGGGGCCAGAAAGGGCAATGGGGCCAGCTTTCTACTTTACTACTACTAGAACTATTACTTTTTCCGCTCTTAGTATCCCTCTTTTCTGCTCTTAGTATCCATCTTTTCCGCTCTTAGTGTCTCGTTTTCCGTTCTTAGTTAGAACTCTGGGGGAAGATCAGACATGTCCGCAAATCGTCTTGCGGCGGAGGAAGTTTATAACTGTCCAGCTGCACTTCCACTCTTTGCACTGCTTCTTTTGAGACATTTGCTGAAGCCTCAGGGCAGTTGGCCGGAAAAGAGCAATGGGCGAACAGACATAACGGCAACCCATCTGGCTATATCCTTTGGTGCCTTTAAACGACCCGGGCGGGACCATCCAGGGTCCCCGGCTATATGTGACGTCAGCGACCTCAATAGGCGATGGACAAAGGATGTCCTATAGACCCTGTTTAGAATGACAAGAGAAACCCAAAATCAAACTCTTGGTTGCTGCAAGGACCTTTCTGCAAAAAGCTGAACTTTCTGCGGGTTCAATGGAAAACTCTTGATTTCCCAAAAAGTTCAAGTCTACATGAACAGGAACCGAGATGAAACCGTTATGAAACGGGGCTAGCCTCATCGCTCTTCCCCAAATGGGTGTGTCTCCAAATGAGGGAACCCAAAACGGATGGTCTCTCTTTAAATATCCTCCAAAAAGACTGAATTCGGGGATCCGTTTTTCTTGGTTCGCACACATTTTGGCCCAAGTTGAGGAACCCATGGGAATGTGACGTATAGGACCGGTAGAAATGGTCGGTTGGACCCGGTTGACCTAGCGGACTGCTTTCCAGCGGTCCTTTTGGATATCCCCGGCAGGTGTTGGGTCGCATGTTGAAAGTTGGAAGTCCAAGTCGTTGGTTTCATGCTTTCTTTCGAAGATGAAAACTTTGACTCCTCACAGAGCGGCTCAAAAGAAATGGTAAGCTCCCCAACACAATGGTTGCATTTCACTTGGTGTCCCTTTAAACCAATGTGTGCGACCCAAGAACTGTCACTGCAACCTCCATGATCGGCATGCGTGGCTGTTGCGTCAAAGGCGAATATGTCTCCCTTTAACCACTGTCAATTGGTCCAAGAGATGATGCTGCCCTCCCTCGTCTGCGACGAACCTATGTCCGAGCCTTGTCGGCGACTCGTCTGCATCCTTCCCCTATGGGAGCGCACGCCATGCCTTCCCCAAGTCAGTCTTTAAAAAAAAAAAAAAAACTCAATTCCACATGTTAGGGTACGAAGTCTGGAGGAAGCCCTCCTTTCATTTGGCACCAAACCAAAAAAGCATGGCATCGGTTTCACGGGAGTGAGCTAACTCCTCAAGAAGGTACCCCCTACTTGCAAGCCACATGGTTCTCAGCTTTCTCAGAGGCTTCCCCAAAGCAAGATGAATCCAACGTCGAGCCATACGCCTCCTTGGCTTCCCTTTCCTCAGCGCGCAAGCTTGGCAATCGCCTGTGTATATTGGTCAGAAAGGAAACAACTTGTCCACCTAAGATTGCTTCCTGGCAAGAGAAAGGAACCAGTCAAGATTATCCATCTCTTTGTTTAAACACGGTTCACGAGCGCTATTCAACACTGAACGGCAATCGACTCTGGCAAGTCCTCTAGCCCATGCCCGGTGAATGATTCATCTGCAACGCGCCATATGCCATCGGTTCTGCTCAGCAGAACATTGCCGAAGGCACCCATTCAAGGGGCGACCCACCTGGCAACTTCCTAGCGGCTCACAGCATGCGAACAATGGAACACCGTTGAGAACCTACCAAGGCTTCCAGAGTCCAGGCCTCTTGGCACATCAGGCATTAGGGGTAACACATGCTCCCAGAATTGAGCTTTGTTCTCCATATTCTTAATTTTCTGATGACATTTATTCAACCCTTGGACATGTTCTTGTCAAAAGGCTTCCGAAGGCATTTCTTGGTTACTTTTGCCCCGCGGGTTCTCTTTGGGCTCCTGCTGTTACAATGGTTGCTTGAGCACATAAACCGCGAAGCTTCCGCCAGGCAAGTCCTTCCGCAAACCTCCCGCGACTGCAGTCCCGCCCGCATTCTGCAAGAATACTGTCCACCCGCTTTCATGGTACATGTAGCGCTCAATTGGACCGTTCTCACCAGGGAACCCACACCTGACGTCATTTTTGTTGGTTGATCGTCTCCAGACCGCTGGGGCTGCGGCTTCCTTCCGCGACCTGACTTGCTCGGATCATATTTTGTATATGTTGCACTTCTTTACAACCTTGGGTTGGCTTAAAGGGAACCACAAAAGGAACCGCCCATTTTGAAGGTCCAAATCCTTGTTCTTTCTCATACCAACATTGCTCTTTGCAAGTATCATGGGTCCAAAGGTGACCACCCAAAGAGGAAAGGAAGGGAACTGCTCAATAGACAGCACAGCAGATGCCGAATTTCAACACAAGGGCCCGTCAACATTCTCTGGGTTGGTGTCAACAGGAAGTACATAATGGATGGCTTCCATTGACTACTCTTATGTGGCCAAAAAGGTATATTGAGAAATCCTATCAAAAATTCAAGCCACCCACAAAGAGGATCTGACAAAAACAGCTTCCCACTCGCATCCGCTGAGCGTTCCGTAGAAGGTGCTTGAGCCAGAGTTCCGCGGCCCATTATGAAAGCTGGGTTGGCCGAGAAGATCCTTTGCTTCCAGCTGGTTTCCCCGAAGGATCCCAATTTTTGCGACCTGCTTGTGGGGGCCGTTTGGTTGTATCTCGGTATGGGTCAATATTCAAACCAGGGCACCGCAGGTTTTAGTGCTTGGCTCCATTTATCAGAACCCATCTTATCAGAGCAACCCATCTTTGGCTACCGTATTCTTGACCCACAATCTGGGCAAACAACTAAAACTGCAAATAGGCAGCAAGGAATCTGAAAAAATAAAAGACCCGATAAAACTCATCTTGGCCTGCGAGCTCGCTTTGGCTACGTACTCTCCTTTCGGGGCAGTTGACAGCTGCAGACGGGAGATAGAAGCCCGGTCGGGTGAGTGTGAAGCTGATTGGGCCCCAGAAAAGGGCCAAATGTCCACGGCACAAACTGAAGGCACCTAGAAATAGAAAGTCTAGATCGGACACTGAACAGGTAAGCAACACTGCGGCAAGCAATTGCGAGCGGGCCTCGGCGAAGCGTCATCTGCGTTGCCCTGAGGCCATGGTCAAATACCAATATATTCAATGTATAATCATGTATATATAAATATGCTTGCAACGCAAGGGATATCCAGCAAGTATCGAGGGCTTGTGGTTGGTTTGCTTGCAATCTGGAGTGGGCCAAACAGACTTACACACACACACAGAACACACACACACAGAACATACACCCACACAGAACATACACACCCACACAGAACATACACACCCACACAGAACATACACACACACAGAACATACACACACACACACAGAACAAACACACGCGCACAAACAAACAAACAAACAAACAAACAAACAAACAAACAAACAAACAAACAAAAACACAAACACAAACACCAACACAGACACACAGATTCACACAGATTCACACAGAGTCACAGAGTCACACAGAGTCACACAGAGTCACACAGAAACACAGTCACACAGTGAGTACACAGCCAGACAGCCACACAGCCACAGAACCACACAACCACCAACAAACACAGACGAAACACAAATACTCGAACAACTCAAATACAAAACACAAAAACAAAACACACACACACACAAAACACCAAACACCACACAACACAACACAACAAGAACACAAAGACACAAAAACACAAAGACACAAAACACAAAAACACAACATAGCAGAATCACAACAACACCAAAAACACACACATACACACAACCACACAGACAACCAAACAATCACACAACCGCACAACCACACAACAACACAAACACACAAACACGCACGCACAAGCAACGAGGAAAAGTATGCTCAACCTAATGGTCTTCAAATCCTTGTCTCCATCAGGGTACTTGCAAGTGAGACATTGTTGCGGGCCAGTATGGCCTGCCAGATTTGTCTGACAGTTCGTCGGAACATGCTTGTACAACATACGTACTGCTGCCTGATTCACTTTCAATCATCTGGGTGTGTGGAAGACTATCTTTCTCTTGAACGGGTGGTCCATTCCACTCCAGCGCAGCTCATACACATCTGCACAGGCCGCTTCTTGGCCCCGCGCCCGGAGGGACCTAGCAGCCAAGAGCTTCTAAGTGCGAAGGCGTGGATTGGAAACTACCAGGGAATGAGTTCAAGTGAGGGTTACGCGGGTTGCCATTGTTGGACTTCATGCACTTGGGAATAGCGGGTGTCGCGGTCCATTGGAAGCCTTTCTTTCTCCAGCAATAGTTCGGGCCTCATATGCCATGAGGCCAACAAAGGCCAATGGCTAAACACGGCCGAAAAAACAGTTTGGGAGTGCT